CCTAACCATTTTGCAAATGATTACATGTAGAACTGCAGTTCTATAAAACTGTATTCATTCTCTGGTTGGTGTTCTGTAAATCGTTTTTTTCTACTTGTCAGTGTTTAGTATAATTATGTATGTTCATTTGTTCTCTAGTCATGATATTACTTGAAAACCCTACATGATATTCTGGTCATACGAATGCTGTCAAGTGGGTAATTTGTTCAGTATTGCGACCACAGTACAAGAACTTCGAATTCCCAGTCTTGAATTTTTGTGTAATAGTAAACATTTCCATGACTAACCTATTAATCAAAAGTTTTTTGTGTCAGTGACTTCATTATTGATGCTCAACTCTTGTCGTATTGGAAATTTGAATTCTTCCACCTGGTCCATTTTAGTTTATTTGTGGTGAAATCCATCAATTAATATGTAATGTCTGGGTTACACTAAGTTGATGGATAGAAACTGAATATATTTAGATTCATTCTACCGACAAACTAAACATTTGTGTAGAAATTAATCATATTTGGACAATGTTCAAGCTCCGTTCACAAAGATCAACATTGAAGACTTATTTAGCATTTGTATTAGCAGTCAAGTTTATTGGCATGCAAAAATTTTTCTGATAAACAACCGTGTCTAACGAACAGATGAACTTGCGAGGGTTGTCCTGCTGGCTTGTTCTTAGCGAAATAGCGTATGTAAATCTAAATTGTAGTTCCTGATTTTCGTAATGGTCTAGTGTCCTTTAATTCTGTTCGCTAACAATTAAACATATTGCGATAATCTTTATTTTTGCGATTTGAATTTTTCATATTATCAATATTTCACTGATTGTGGGTTCCCTAAACTGATAGTATTTACTTTCTGTGCACAATTATGCATCACTATCAGCTTATACTATATTTTCTCAGTTAACTTTAACGATTGAATCCTAAACCTACAAAATCCCTCATCTCTATTTGTTGAAAATTATATGTACATACTACTTATAAACGAATCACATAGTAAAGCTACAACTAAAATTAAAATAACTAATTTTGTCATTATCAAGGTTTGACTAACGGTTCCAAGTAAGTTGAACATTTGGTGCATCGTTTACAATAGTCGAATAATTTTAGTATCCTGCTTAATACCTGACTGTAGCCGCTGCCTCGACATGGTGGTCGGGTTTGCCTATCGTGATGACCCAACTGAGCTATATTGGCTGGAACATATTTTCCTGTAGGTTCTACCATGCCAGGCAGGTCGATCGGAGAACGGTGAGGCTAAGGGCAGCAACTCAAGGTTTGATGGTGAATTCGTACCGCTGACTAGAAAGGTGCGACAGCAGTAAGGTGTTTCCCTCGGATAACCAGCATCTGCAACGATGCTTCATCCTCACAAGGAAGGAAGGGGTTAGAAAAGATTGACCCTCAAAATGTCACACCACGCCTTACCCCATGGATTTCCGTCTCCTGCAGTAAGGCCTTTTAGACAAGAGCGAAGCTAATTCTTCAAAGGTTCCCATGAAAAGACCGTGCGTGATCGGCCTCAAACACTCGTCCCTTGGGCTCTGCGGTCACGCTTCCAGGTCGTTAAGACCAACACTAATTCAACCTCTCTTTCAGATTCCTCAAGAAATACCCTTCCACGGTGTGGGTAGCCAGTGAGGGAAAGCATACGAGACCGAATCAGTCCATATACCTCCTAACAACCCTCTTACTCCCAAGACTAATCCTTCTAACATTCCTTTACTGCCTGGTGCCGTTGATAGAAACTATTCGGGTACACGAGACTTTATTCCTGGTCTCCTAAAACCACGTTCTAAGCTACTGTTTGGAACATCTATTATTCAGTCCTTGTGCCAAGTAGCACAACAGGCCTCCTTAGCAAGAACTCTAGAACTTCGCGCCATTGATGTATGCAGCGTCTCCTATGTGCATATGCAGGATCCTAGTCGTTCATCGAAACCCACTTTGTCAATGTAAAGAACCGTCACGAATTATGCTTCGTGTATCTGGAAGCCGCACTTCTGCTTCTCGTGACCTCGTTGGTGTAGATAAAGCATTGAATTCCAAAGCAGAATTAGCTCTCTTCGACTGGATTCCAGTAGGCAGTCGCTTGTGTGCTGTCCTACTGAACGAGACAGTAAGAACTCGGAAAGGGGGACACTCGTCATTGCCTCTTCGTTGTCTCTATGTTCACTCTGAATGATTACAACTTAGATGAAGTAACAAAATGAATTTCTTCGGAAAAATTTCCAACCTTCAAACCGCTAAGTCCTCTGATGTAGTAATGGTGTCTGGTTACTTTAATGCTCAAGTAGGTAAATTGACCTAAAAGGAAGGATACCTGGGTGGATCTTATGGTATGGCGACTCGAGTGACGGGTAGTGGTAACCGGCTGCTGCAGTTTTGCTCAGATAATCGTCTGTTTCTGGCAAATGTCAAGTTTAAGCACTAGAAAAAGCATCTTTCGACATGGCGATCCCCAAAATCAAATTAAACCATAACAAATAGCTATCCGCCACTAATGAAGAGACTCGAGGGAAGACTACCGCTCATTTTTGATCTCGTGTTGAGATTTAAATGATGCTCCACTACAGGCGCATGTTTGTCTGCGGAAGTTTATAAAAAGAACAAAAGTCCTCTTGTGACAACCACAGAAATCAGTTTAATTAATATATTGTCTAAGGTACTAACCTAGACAATACTTCGACGCCTAACTGGAGCTCGTGGAGAACAGACTCGAGAAAACCAGGCTGGCTTCAGACCCGGATATGGCTCTATAGACCAGATATTCACACTTCGTCAAGTCATAGAACATACACACTCTTTCCAGTGTCCCACAAAAGTTGTGTTCCTCGACCTTATGGTAGCGTTTGACTGTGTTATTCCTGAGGTTCTGTCGCATTGTCTGTCACTGAGAAGCGTACCCGAGAAATACATTAACTTTGTACATGCTCTCTACTCAAACACCACTGGTCGGGTTAGAGCTTATGACGAGCTATCATCAGAATTGATCACGTCAGGTGGTGTTCGTCACGGTTGCCCACTTTCCTCATCTTTATTTAAGTTTGTCACAGACATGCATTTAGAGTCAGCACTTCTGTTCCGTCTTCTGACTTCTCAGGGGTTTTTACCTCATGCCAGAAGATTCACTTGTCCGCTTCGAATATGCCGATCACATAGTTCTGTTTGGTGAAGACGCTGACAAATACAGTCTTCTGACCAACTTAAGCAACAATGCAAGCATGTTCGGGATGCGATTCTCCCATTCCCCCCGAAATGCAAAATGTTGCCTCAGGATTGGGTTGCATCGGCACCTGAACTAGTGATAGAGAGTGAAGCAGTTGAGCATGTTGACCGCTTCACTTATCTTGGGAGTCTAATCAGTGCTGATGGTCTGGTGACTGACGAAATCTCAGCTTGGATACAAAAGGCTCGATTGGCTTCTGCCAACCTGCATCACCTATGGCGCAGGCGAAATATCCGCTTGTTAATCAAAGGACGAGTGTAATGCGTAGCAGTTCGCTCTGTCCTACTATACGCCTACGGACTTTCGTAGGTTACTAGTCTTCGATCATAGGTGTATCCGAAGCATTGCTCGTGTATCCTGGGACGACCGAGTAAGCAATGCTATTGCTAGGAAACGGGTGCTAGGTAAGGATGGCAGGTCAATAGATGAAGTAGTGAAACTTCATCAGTTGAGGTGATTGGCACATGTGCTGCGTATGCCTAACCACCGACTGCCACATCGTGCTATGTTTTGAGGTGTAGGAGTAGGTTGGAGGAAAGCTAAGGGCGGCCGAACCAAAACATGGTAGATATCGACGAAGTTACTGACAATTGGACTTAGTCATGTTGGTCGGTGTCGACAACCTGGCTAGAGCATGCGAGATGATAGTAATAGATGGTTAGAGACCTTGAATGACATGCTTGAAAACCGTTTGCAGTGGCGTATGTGCATTCATTCATTGTGTTCTCTCAAATCTTAACCTTCTTAATTCCTCCTCAATTTTTTTCTTTTTAAGTTTATTTCACTAGATTTTGCTTCTTTAAAATTATCTTCGAATCCTAATCTCTGCGATTACTGCAAATGCCTTCACTACCTGTACTACTATGGGATTTGAGTTGACAATTGCGTCTCTGTGCTAATGTGGTATGGCAACATGAACTGATGTACGCATGTACGTACGTAGTTTTACGTTGCTATTTATTGATTGGTTGGTTGACTTTTGTGTAGCTTAGACATTTTTTAGCATGAGTCAAAATTTCAAGGAATAATGGCTTCTCACTAAAAAAGCGTCACAATCAATACAGTGTTCTCGATTCAAAAGAGATATTTTCATCTATTTAAACTAATATATTTCGACGAATGCTCAGAATCCAAGCTGCTGACCATCAAAATATTACATATATATTATTTTATTATCATATGAATTACCAGTCACAATTAAAACCAGGATATGATGATTGATATGTTTTAAATTTCTTAAAGAAATTAAATGCTAGGTAGCTTCATCAGGGTCATATGCCCATTATATATGGTGTTTTTAGTTGACAAAAAGTAGTGGTTAGCTGACTAGAACGTGATGATCGCGTTTAATATGCAAATGGATGTAATAAATATGGGCCGATTTCTTTAAACTTAAGAAAACTATCCACAAATAGTTGTCTTAAGACAGCTTTGATTTACTTAAATATACATAAATTGACTTAAATTCTCCAACCAATAATCTTGAGTCAAAATAACAGTAGAACTTCAACTCGGAATATCCAAATAATCTGCATAAAAAGCTACCACAAAATTGATTAGTTGTATTAATTTGATTGTTTGTACTTGTGCTTTTTTAAGTAGCAATTTGCTAAGTATCTTTTTAACACATAAAACTTTTACCTTTTACTCAGAGATGAATAAAAATAATTCCCCTACCAAATCTTGACAACTTCGAGCAAGATAAAGCCCCGATTTTCGCATATTGGGACGGCACAATGCGCATGGTCGTGTTGATCTGGTCGCCAGGCTAAGCTATGTGCATTGCAGGAGATCATGATACTCCTTTTATTTCTCTGTATCCGTCTTTACTCGATCGAAAAAAATCAAACTTTAATTCTAGTCATAATTTGTTTTCAAATAGTTATACAGAACAAAATCCTTTACCCAACAGTGCCTTATTTCCAAGTATTTGCTCATCGTCATATAAGTTTACTGCAACCGAACGTTCGGGAATTCTGATAATTCTGTTTTTATTGTTGGGTGATATATTCTGTGCAACAGCCAGGTTCTCACACGTGTCTGACAAATCTCAAATAGTTGCTGGAGACAAAAATAGTGAACTTGTATTCATAAATTCTCCTGATTCATCCCCAGCATTCAAGCCAACAAGATTTACTCGACAAACAAACAAACCGTTTGGTAAGGTGAATAGTCGTAAGACCGATATAAAAATGTACTTGAACAAAGCACGAAGACATTTGTTACCGGAGGGACAAATGGAAATAAAGTTTTTGAGTCCAGAACTTGTTGAATTTATTTGCCACCGGCTTCCTGATCCATGTGCTCGCGCTGCTTATCTTCGTCATCATGTCAGACACGAATTGTGCTTTCGTTTGCCTTTATTGTATCTTCTTCCATATACTGACTCTCGTTTGGATAAACCATACATGTCGGAATACAAACCTGGAACTTGTAAAAAAGGTCTATCTCATCTTACATATTTACCTTCGGACAGCATTTTTGAACAGTTTCTGAATCCGGTTCATGTATGTGAACACAGTCTACTTTCGCTAAAAAAGATAATGGATGATAAATTAACTTCACATTTTGGAGTATTTGATGATCTACTAGAAAAGTCATTTTGTGTTAAATCATTTGATTCACGTCCCAACGTAACAGGAGAATGCCAATGTCAGGAGTGTCAAGTAAGTACTATTCGTAAATACACTTATTTATTTATACATTATCACTGTCTTTGTTTTCTTATATGAATTCATTATACTCTGAAAATTTTAAACCGCTTTAACTACGATACGATGCTAAAAGATTAGACCTAACCGTCGTGTTTTAATTGATTGGAGAAGGGGTGACCTACAAGCTCAATTACCCCAATCGTATACGATATTTTATCATGTCAATTTTTGTTAGTATTTTACGTATAAGAATGTCATTTCATTACCTAAAACCTATTCTTCTGGCTTACGTTGCTTGTTCTTGGTTTTTAATCATTCAGCGTCTTAAGGTAATAGATAATAAAGTCTCGTAAGCACCCATCATTTAGCTACATCATATCATTGTGTTTATCTATCAATTAATATTCTTTGACTTTCAAATCTTAAACCTTCGTTTCATCAATCATTTAAAAGCCACTTCTATAATAAAGAAGACATTTAAATCAAAAGCTTGAGGCGTCTTGCAAAGAATGATAAGGAACAATAGTACTATAAGAGATTTATGAACAAAACTGTACTCGTTAGATTGATCAGTTTTCATATTGATTTACAAAGTGTAAATTAAATCATAAAGCTCGATTTTTCTCATCGAAAGAATGCCATTTTAATGTTTAGGCACTGCAGTACAAGTTGACATAAACAGTAACTTGTACTGTTTGCACTCTGCTTAATTATTTGTAAAAGCACCCGTTACTTTGTTACTACGGAAAATGTATCCTTTGTGCATAACAAAATACAAAGTGAAATCTTTTTAAAGATACCGGACATATGTCTGTCAGTAAAAATATCCTTTTTAAAGTGTTATAAACTTATTTATTGTAAATTTTAGATGTACTTGACCACTCTCAGACCCAAAAATCTTAAAAGAGATCTTTAGAAGAATTAAAGTTTGCTGGTGCTGCTGCTGCTTTATTATGTATGATTACATGAACGTTCATCTGATAAATTAAGATTCATAGTTTACTCAACATGTAGCCCCCTAGTAGTTGCAAGTTCACTACTCCATCGACCAATTTAGTCTTCTTGGTCTTGATACGTTAATATTCTTAACTCAGTTGTTCCCTCATATGCAGAGAATATTTAGATGACGCCGAATTTTGAATACTCGTGAGCTATTGTCTCGAACTTTCAATGGCCATATATCTTAGTGGTTAACTAGGTCAAAATATTCTTTTCATTGGATAATGTTCAAAGCAGACTTGAGTTAGGTTTTCACTTAAGCTGTTCAATAGGTTCTGTACCCCATCACCTTCATTTAGCGCGACTATCTTCTGCTAATGTAGTGTAAAAAAATTTACATGAAGGATGTTAACATATAAACGTGAGGGAGGAGGTAGACAATCTTTAATTGGGATTCTTTCGAGAAATTTAAACATTAATGTTAACAGCGAACATTTTCCATGGACGCTCAGTTGTCATCACTTCACTTCTTGATGAGTTTAGACAGTTCGTTTAGGAGGTATTCACCGCGAAAACTAATACGAAATCTTGTGGTTACTTAAATTTCTGATTATGACTTCATAATTTTTCACGGAAATATACAACAAATGCATTGAAATTCTGTATCTTTTAGTATTTCAGAAAATTTGCAGAGTAAGATGTCTGCATTTTACTACGGAACGGTCGATTCGATTAAAAATTACACTAAATATTGGTTAAATAACTTCTCGGTTGAATTGACTGAACGTACATTTGATTCCAGAAAATACCCTCCAGATTTTAACGTAACAGGCATTAGAAAACATTACAACTGGTCGAATAATTGAGTGTTTTAAGGAAATATCACCTGTCATTTATACATGAAATATCCAACCCAGATACTGTCGTTGCCAAAAAATCGAATAATTGGTTAAGAATGAGAGCGAAAGCAACATAAAACTTTTGCTTTTCATATAGTTTAACTACGATGAACAAACCTTACGTTGCTTCTCTTGTATAATAACGAGTTTTTAGACTATTACTTTTCTCAAACAATGCGAGAGATCTTGAAGTTAAGACAAAGTGTCAAAACTATACTGTCCTAGCTTTCTAAAAAGCCGGCTGTTAAAGTCCCTAAACTAATACGATATGAAATATTTGTTGCTCCCATCCATTTGTAAGCTATTTAAGAGTTGGGTTGATTTAATTTTCGGTTGTTCTTTGCAAGTAGTTCATATAACCTGTTTGTAGTACCCACAGTTCCACTTGGCATCGTTTCTTGGCTCAACATTGTTTACGTTATACTCAAAAGAGATAAATAAACATTATCGACATTACATGAAATGCTACGTAAATGCCATCTAATTTCTAAAATAGGTATCAATCTATTATTTGATCTCCATCTACTTTGTATGCTTTTAAAATCAATTGTTTTTCTAGTTATAAAATATGCTATTGATTTCTATGAAGTAAAGTAATAAAAACGGAATTAGGTCTGTGCTTTTAGATTTAGTTTTTAGATTTGTGCAGTCGAGTAAGAATTTTTCCAAATAATAAAAATTAAATGCTTCCTAAGTTTTCACATTCTCATCTGTAAAATATCGTTTGTATTAAACTCTATAACGAATATACCCCATTTTCACATACCCTATGATTTACTTAAAGTTTTGTTATTCCTCACCATGTAGTACACAAATCTAAGCAGTCTCTTAGGCGTTCTATTGAGTCTTCTCGTTTTATAATAATAATCATATTGAAATCACACTTTACTTACTCCCGTTTGAACAGCTGAGTGATGTCAATAACCTGCATACATGAAGTCTAACGCAAAATCAAGTGCATGAGTCCATACTTGACTACTGATTTCCACTTAAATCTATTCGTTTGAGTTTCCTTGTTCAATAATGGAGTGATTGTGCGTTCGATTGATTATAAATATATCTCCTAAAAAATTATAATTTGTCTGTAAATTAATGGTGGTAATTTGGAAAATGTAATAACTTGCCAAAATGCTTAGACGTTGCTACTGGTATTTGTTGCTTTTACAACAGAATAAGACTGATATGCTTCAACGCACAGTAAAATGCTATACTGTAGATGAAGGTTTATTTATATATCAACCACTGATTAACAATTGATTAAAACAACATCAACATGTTTGATGAAATGTATATTATTTTAAATATCCTTTCAGTGGGTAAATTTAAACGCACTAAACTTGCAGTAGCTAACATTGATTAGCAACTAAATTGATTGCAAATATAACTAAATTACTAACTTATATATTTTGCCTCTTCCTAATAAAAGATTTACCAGTCCTGAACGACATCGACTGTAAACCATGAAAGCTAACATCGATAGTAATTTTAAAATACAGTTTGTACAGATGTCTAACATAAATTGCATTTATATACTGAACATTTGTTTGAACTTTAGCTGATATAGTGTTTTTCTATAAAACATAGTCAACCTTTTAATCTGAGACGATTACATTGCACATACTATATCCCACCATATATATATATATATATATATATATATATATATATATATATATATAATTCTGTGGTTTACTGTTTTGTCTTTACTCCTCTCCATTGAATATTAATGGTTTCTCTTAACTTTGCTCGTCTTAATTTTACTCATATTAGATTCTGGCTTTCTCTTCTTGAATCAATCAAACTTTTTACTCATTTCCTATATCTCTTAATTTGCTTGTTCGTTTGATAGTCACTCTTATTTTGTCTCTTGTGTAATGTTAGTTCCTCTCACCTTAGTCTATTGATCGCCAGTCATTTTCTGGTCTTTCAACCATTTTCCTGCTTTTATGTATGATATATGAGTGGTGTCGTGCATGCATATGTCTGTTCATAAGTTTACCCTTATAGCTTATTCACTATTATGCTCGTGGATGCGTTTATATATTATTTTTATGAACTCACACAAATCGTTTAAATTTACTTAACCTTTAAAAATGGTCTTTCTACATTAGAAATTATCTCAAATATTTCTATCATATACGTAGTTCTGTTAATCACTATTACCTGTTAGTTTATCATTGAACGTGTTGTTTTGAAAACTTGAGAAATCAATGGAATTTTTAGGCATTATCAGGTTTAAGAGTGACTGGGTCAGACTATACTCCATAACTTCTGTAATAAATTTTCCTCAGCATTTCTTTCAGTTATATGCTCTCAATCTGTAATAAATTTCGAATTATTTAAAATTCTTTTACTTAATTTATTATACTTTCAAGTATATTATTTGGTGTATCCTTTCATGTTTTTATTAACTATATGTGTTCGCACAGTTGGATGTTTAGTTTACATTTTTTAAATATCTTAACTATAATATTCGTGTTCAACTACAATAGTAATGTATCGTATCTCAGAATCACTGCATCTTCGTTACTTGAATAGACCATAAAAACAGCGAATAATTTTCATCTTGTCCCTTTAAATTACACAATCCCTTACACGGAGAAGGAATTAAACAAGAATAGTTTAGGTGCATAATTATTTTCCCTTGATTGATAAACGTAAGAGAATTAAAAATTTGATTGTACATTCAATAAACTATGTAGATTTGTTCGCAAATTTTCGTATTAATTCTGTGTGATATGTTCTCCAAACAACGTAAAAAAATGTTCATTTATTTATTTAGTTTAATTCAAAATAAGATTTTATTTAGTAAAATTAATCAACAGGTACTTGAATATGTGATTTGCTTTATTTAGAAGCGATTTTAATCAAATGACATTAACAATTATGAGATCGTTATTGGCCTACCTCGAATTGTGCTTATTAGAGTTTTGTTCTAAAGACTCGACTTATAGAGTTGGAAGTAAGGATGATACTCACCGATCACACTCGTAGGTATCCACAATATTTAGTGAGTCTACTGATGTTGGCAGATGTAACTTATATTTCTATCAAATATATGGATGATACGATGGTTGTTGCGAGTTTCGATCACTTTTAATTTTATCCTGTTTAGTGTTTTTCGGGTATCTACTACCGAGTGGTCTCGATAACCCTTGAAGATTCAAAATTGAA